TGGGAGCACAGGGAGCACCATTTGCCAAACAACAAAGGCAGCCCTAGGCAGTGAGCACAGGCAGAGTAAAGAGCATGGACACTGCCAGCACACTGTTCAAAGCTTGGCCATTCAGGGGAACATCAGAGACGAGCCACCACAAGAAGCCTGTAATCGCCTTTCCCCCAGTTTATGAGACAGGCAGAGATCAAACGGAGGAGGTAGGGGTTAGAATTCCCAATAACAGCCTCCCATTTGAACAGCCTGCAGGCAAGGAGGTCAGCAGAGGGTTCCAGAGACGAGGGCTATTTTTAGTGAGAGCAAAGAAGGGAAACCCTCAGAGTTGTAGATTCCGGGGTGGACGACATGGCTGTTCGGTGAGTCCTGCTACACATGATCGGCTGCACCGGACCGGGCCAGGGAGAAGCCCAACGATGACATCGACCGCCATCCCCTGTCAGGGAGCGGGTAAATCGCGGCACCACCAGCAGGCCATCAGGGAGCCTGGCTGAGGCAAACACAGGTTTTCGTGACCAGGGGCTATGGTTCATACCCAAAATAGAGAGCGTTTTTAGTTTTAACAGTTGAAGCATTACCAAAAAACTGTAGTCCGCAGGAAGCAATTCACAAAGGGGAAGTCTGGGCATTGAGAGGGTAGATTGTGGCAGAAAAGTTAAGTGGGAGACCCGAAGACCCCGATCGTCAAGGTGGGAGAAACGACAGGGAGCATCACCCCCAGCCTGTCTCCCAATCTCAGAAGGGTGCCCATAAAGCCAAGTGGACCACGCTTCCTGCCTCTGAAAGCAGGAGCCTCTTCAAATCATTTCGAATCCTTTTGCCCGCAAGAGGGACATATCTGGGAAGCGGTGGAGAGGGACCTGCGGCAGAGGCACAGGGTCCTGGAGAGACAGGCTAAGGGGCTGCGTGGATGGGTTATGGATGGGGCACTTTGGTTAGTGCTCATCAAGCCATAAGCTACGGTCCTGAGTGTCTTTGTGAGAGAAATGATGGCCAAGAAGGGCTCTGCCCAGTGAATGCAGAATCCTGGCACCAGACAAGAGATTTATGGGCCTGAGGACGTCGAGGAGAAAATGGATGGAAGAAGATGTGTCAGGAGGCTGTTAGGGATGGAGGAAGAGAAAGCTGCTGTAGGGGCAGCGGGCCTCTCCCACAGTTTCCCTTTCATCAGCAATGGCCCAGGCGGCACGGGCTGTGAGCAAAGGACCTGGGAGCCTTTACCTCACTGCTGGGCCGCAGGGCGGCCCCCTGAGCCTCACTAAACAGGGGATTGCAGAAGCAGCCACGTGGGTGTTTGGAAATCCAAACGAAGTCGCTTTAAACACATTTTCTCTTTCCTAATGAGAAGGGGCTCTGTAAGAACATGACTTTCACCTCTCCAGGGATTAAGAATTGCTCTGGATGTCGAAATGGCCCCTGGGGCCAAGCAGGAGTTTGCCTGCGGATCAACCACAGCCTGTGGCGCTTACACAAGCAACCGACTGGCCTGCACAGAGGCTGGCAGGCTTCGAAAGCTTTCTGGAGACAGCAGCACAGAGCTGTGGGTCCTGGCTTGCCCGTTGTGTTGGGCCTTGATTGGCCCCGTGCTCCAGGTCAGGAGGCCAGCGCTCCAGCGACCGCTCCTGCTGACACCGCCAGGCTCCAGCCACTCCGCACCCCTTCACCTCCACCCCTCTGCCCTTCAGCCTTGCTGCAGGGAAGGGACCAGAAGTCCAGCTGCAGCGTACTGAGGTGACCCCGACAGTTTCAGGTTGCCTCTGGGAATCAGCACCACTACAGTCAGAAGTGAACTTTCAGGGGCGCCTGGGTGGCTCAGTCATTGGGCGTCTGCCTTCGGCTCAGGTCCTGGTCCCAGGGTCCTGGGATCGAGCCCCGCATCGGGCTCCCTGCTCGGTGGGGAGCCTGCTTCTCCCTTTCCCACTCCCCCTGCTTGTGTTCCCTCTCTTGCTGTATCTCTCTCTGTCAAATAAATTAAATCTTTAAAAAAAAAAAAAAAAAGAGAAGTGAACTTTCAGTTCTGCTTGTTTCCTTTCCCCCAACTAAACACCGGAATCCTCTGCAAATTCCCTTCTTCCCCACCCTGCTTTACAGGCCAACTTTTTGTTTGTCAGGAATGAATCAACGGTTTAAAGCAGAGGTGTGTGCTGGTGCACCACCTTGTCCATGAGCATTCTCTGGGGTAAAGCAGTAACTACGCTGGGGCTCAGACAGCCTGTGTCCACACTGTACATAGCCTCAGCCCACTGGCCAGGTGTTCCTACGCAGCAGGTGCTCACAGAGGTGCATTTTCCAGATCATTGGCCGTTCAAACCTTTGCAGTGTCAAAACTTTAAGAAGTCACTGTTTCTCATGAGCACCTTTATGACATGTACAAATACTTCTGGTCTTTTCTAAGCAGAAAATACATAATGTAATTCATCTTTTCATGATGACTCAGGAATATCATTATATCATTATAATCACCAATTGTGGGGCTATCCTAAGTGAACAGCAGTGCCCCGAAGATGGACAGAGAGCTTCTAGCACCACTGCCCCCTACAGTGAGCAATCCCAACCTCCGTGACCAAAAAAAAAATCAGGACAAGTAGACAGTTATTTTTTAAAAATTGCTCTTCTAATTACAACAGTAATACATATTCATTGCAGAAAACTGTTATGTACGAAACAATAAAAGAAAAAATAAAGTCACTAAAATGAGATTTAAAATAGGTTTTTGCTGCCAGGCATTCCTGCCACTATTTTGCTGATGTCTGCAGGTACTGCTATTAGACCCTCTATTTCTACCTAGTGATTCTCATTTGTCCTTGAAGATAAGGCGCCTGTGCTTTGTGATCACTGCTTTTATTTCTGGGTAAAACAGTTTTGTGGTTTCAAGAAGATAAGATAAATGTTATCATGAGTGTATAAAAAAATTCTCTATACCCTTATTCAAGAAAAAGATAAAATCAGGGTAATTTATAAACTGTATCTTACAAATAATGTTTGTCAATTTAAGTCTATAGGAAGCTGGTGACATCAGCAAATAGTCCTTAATCTCTTGGAAATTTTGCACAGCTACTCTCAAAAACTTCAAAATTTTGCAGGTAGATTTTAGAATAGAAGTGTCAGCGTATTTTGCTATAACAAAATACCATTGGCAGGGTGGCTTAAGCAACAAAAACTGATTTCTCACTGTCCAAGATCAACATGCTGGCTAATTCGTTTCCTGACAAGAGAGCCCTTCTCCTGGTCTGCAGATGGCCTCCTTCTCCTATGTCCTCATGTGGCAAAGAGAGGAAGCAAGTTCTTCCCTGTCTTTTCTTATCAGGGCACTAGTTGCATCGTGAGGGTGCCGAACTCATGACCTACATACTTCTCTGAGGACTCTGGCAACTAGGTTTCCACATGTGAACTTTGCAGGGACACAAACATTCAGTCTACAGCATTCCTGGAATATGCTTTGGCATCATTATAAGAAAATTTGAGAGTTCCCCAGTTAGAGCATTAGGCTGAGATTCTGGTGGCCACATGGTTAATTCCCAGATTTCTGGCTTCCCACAGTCTGCCTGGGACCGCAGTCCCAGTGGATGCCTCCTGCTGAGGCATGCCCCTTCCGCCCCCGCCCCCCCCCCCCCAAAGGCCCTGATGATCACGTCCCAGCCTCAGGCAACATTCCTGCTTGGCTGGGAGGCTCCCACCGTGTGCCCATCCAGAGCCGATCAGAAGAGAGAGGCAGCTGAGTGTGCACAAGGCCTTCCCCAGGCCTGGAAAACAGCTCAGGAGGATTCAGCACATGCAAGAAAGCATAGTTTTCTCAGTGGCCAATTTTTGCACATCTCAGGTATGGACTGTTCTCTTGGTCCCCCCTTAACTTTGAAACCAGGGGAAAGAAGACCGACCAGCAGTCCTGATCTCCCAGGAAGGACATACTGGATAAATCCCGCAATTAAGTGGGGGAAAACAGTCCATATTCTGTACATCTTTAAAACTCAGAGCTCTTTAAGCTGGGAGAAGGGTCAAAATGGCTCCTCTCATTCATATTTCATGATAGTTGCTAGTTCAGAGTTGACAATTACTTAAAAAAATCATGAAAAATTTAATGTCAAGAAAAAACAATTAGGACCATCACCCAGTCATGTCAAACCACATGTATTTCTGTTTTTATATCCATTTTTTTCTTTACACATGCTTTATGCATGCTCTTCTATAGTTGCAATATTTTCACTTAACACCTGCTCTTGCATAGTTTCTTAACTGTTCCTGTGTGTTACCCGCGCTGCTGGATGTGCTCCCCTTTAGGCATTGCAGGGCACTCCTGGATCCCACCCAGAGCCTGGACATCCTGTTCCTTTGCAGGGGCTTCAAGGGAGAGCTGTTGAAGCCACGAGGAAAGGTTGGATTTTGAAGACAAAAATAATTTTCCTCCTTTGAAGACAGAATAGATATAGTTAGAAACTGAGAAAGCCCAAGGAGCCTGAAGCCAAGAGGTTGGGGCTCTAACCCTACACCTACCTCCCACTTATGTGACCTTGGGAGGGACTGAACCCTGAGCCTCTGCTGCCATTCTATGAATGGTGATAAACCTCACGGGGTTATTGAGGGACTGATGTGGATGGAGTATCTTTTTTTTTTTTAAGATTTTATTTATTTATTTGACAGAGAGAGACACAGCGAGAGAGGGAACACAGGCAGGGGGAGTGGGAGAGGGAGAAGCAGGCTTCTCGCCGAGCAGGGAACCCGATGCGGGACTCGACCCCAGGACCCTGGGATCATGACCTGAGCCGAAGGCAGACGCTTAACGACTGAGCCACCCAGGCGCCCCGTGGATGGAGTATCTTGAATGAAATGGTGCTGTGCAAATGTTGTTTGTTATTCTGTTGGGGAATCCGAAGCAGGACTTAGGCCATGAATGAGGCCTAGGGCTGATGAGGGGCCCCGATGCTGGGAAAGGGGTAAGTTAATTGTGCTGGCCCTCCCAGCATGCATGGTAACCTCCCTGCCATTTGCCTTCTTTCTCCCCCCAGATGCCACTGCCTTGCCTGTTCCCCACCTGCCCCGTCTCTTCTAGAGCTGCCACTCCCGCAGCACTCCTGCAAGGGAGCCCCGACCTCTGTTCTCCAGGCTAAAATGTATGTCCTGCAGATGCAAGGAAGAGCCAACTGTCTGAGCTCAAGGATTTCCCGGTGACATTAAAAAATGCATTGCTGAATTTTGATTGTTAATTTATAATTGATACCTGATGCTCATGGCTAATTCAAAGTGTGAAGTCAATGCTGAGCCATAGTTGATAGTATGGCAATTGAGCTCTGCTAAAGCGATGCTGGCCCTTCTAGCACTTGTACCACCTCCCTCTGTCCTCCCTGTTGGGGGATGGCATGTCTTGACATGTGATGCTCTGTCCTCCTGCACGCGACTCCCTTGTGACCGGCACACCGTAGTTAAGGGGTGGGGGTCAGTGACTAAGAGGAGTCAGTGACAGGCTGATCCCCAGCCTGCACGCTTCTGAGCCCCTTCGCCATTGTCCTCTCCCATATCTGAAACATCTTGACCCCAATTGCCCAGGATAGAAAGCTCTCTCAGTTTTTTATTCCACAGGCTTTGAAGGGTATCAGGCATTGGCAGTTGACAATGCTTTCAAATCAGTAGCTAAAGTTAAAAAAAATGCAATTCGGCCGCCTCTTCCATACACAAGAATCTTTGACCCTGAGCCTAAAGCATTGGGACAGATGTTAGAGGTCATCCCGCTCAACAACCTTCGCTTTTGTCATCCAAAGGGGTCTCAGGGTCCTTGAGACTTATGTGCAGCTCCTGAAGTGTTGAGGGTAAACAGGGTAAAGATGTGAAATCATTTGGTTATTACTGCTTTAGCTGTAATTGTTTTATTTATTCCAAAAGGAAGGTTTAAGGCAATATTATAGTTATTGCTGTTAATAGGACATCTGGGCCCCCATTTTTATGGAGCTATAAGTGACATATAATGTTGTATTACTTTTAGGGGTACAAAGGACCCTTCAACCCTTAGTATGAAGACCGAGTTGCATGAAGTCTCTCCCTGCCTCCGCCCCTCCCCACTGTGGTTGCAGGTGCTGGGGACTCCGACATTCACTGCTGCCAGTCCTCTCCATGCTTGCAGGTTGCCTCTGTCACTCTTGCTTCATAAAGTTAGGAAGACATCCGGAGAAGGACAACAGGGACAATACTGTGTAAGCGGGTGACCCTTTGTCAGAATGAGGAAGATGGGGGGCGACTTTATTCCAGGCAGGCAAATGTGTAGGCGAAGCTGAGTAACGTGGTACCACTTCCCATGGATGTAACTCCTTCCCTGACTGGTTGTTAAGGGGGCCCTCTAACACTCCTACAAAGTATGTGACTCTCCTTTTGCAAGAGAAGAACTGGTCCCTCTGGACAGTTTAAAGAGAAGATGCTGCAGCAGATCAACCCCTGTGGATCTAATTCATGGCACCAACTCCACATGCAGAGCAGGGGCGACTGCGGCGGAGACTGGGAGGCAGACCACACCGGGCACCCTGCCCTGCATGTCTCTCCCCTCCTCTCGTCACTGAAGCTGTGGTGAAGGGCCCTGAGACAGCTGAGTTTCCATCATCTCTACCCTTCCCTCTGTAGGCTCGCCTCCAGTGGCGTCCGCGTGTTCACTGTGACCATCACACCCTGAGAAGCTGTGTTCTCTTGGATGAATGTGGGATGTCACAGCCTTTGTGGGCAGCCTCTTTTGCTCACAGGCAGGCCGTTCCTGCTGAAGAGACACTAATGCTCTCTTGACAAGGATCCTGGTTGCTACCTCTGTAATCATTGATTGATTCATTCATTCATCATTCAGGAGACATTGTTGAGTGCCTCCTTGAGTGTGCACAGGTGTCTTAGATTTCCTGCCCTCCTAGACATCTTTCTTCAAAAAGAATTATTCCACCTCTGCCTTTCATTTGCTACCTCCTGCCTGTGCAAATCATTCCAAATCGGCCTGGATTCAAGAGGTCCTCAGACTGATCCCCAGCATGCATGTCCAGCCTTATTCTTGAACCACACATCCACAGCAAATTGGTTCAGAGCTCCCTGCTCAGTGGGCCTTGTATTTTAGTGCTTTTGCTTAAACATTCTTCCCTGAGGAAGCCCTACCCCTCTCTAACCAAATTATGCTACATTACTTAAAATTCCTTAGATTTCTTTTTTTCCCCTTAAATTTCTATCTTAAGTGGATTTCACATAAATAAAGCAGGTCTTTCTATGTCATCATAAAGATTATTTTTAAGTTAAGAAGTAGGTATGCCATAACCTGTCAAATGTGGTAATGGCGCCTAACCCAGTGCCTAGTGCTTGGGAGGAAGCAATAAACATGAGCTGAGTGAATGAATGAGTGAGTGACATAGGCCCACCTACAGAAGGGAGGGGTCCTGAGGAGGAGAGGAATGGCTAGACGGCAGTGCAGCTGGGGGAGGACAAGACTCCCATAAGGAGGATTTTCCATGAGCGTGGAGGACCATCGCATTCTGCCTCTTGACAGTTTTGAAACTTTCCCAAGACTTGATCTTCTCCTTTGTAGAATGGTTTAACAACAATATGCATGCTGATAACCAGTATGTGCACGACTATGTATGCTAATATGGTAGGTATATATGCTGTAATTAGTAAGATCTGAGCCTTTTGTCTCACTGGGCCATTGTGGCCCCAGAGAGCTAAAGGGTGTGAAAGCCCTTTGTGAGGATGTTCACATCTAAATAATTATTGTGATTACCCAACCACAATAATTGATTGCTGTGGGTCCCAGTACTTCTGCCTCAGTTGGCTTGGCTCTGAGTGGAGGGGGCAGACTTCATCTATGTTTGTTCACTTGACTGGCTCCAAGATCTGGCCTGGTCTGGTGCTCAGTAAACATGGAGGACAGATGTACAGCCTTAGGCCATCATGTTCTTCTGGTAGTTTCCGCCATAGACTCACATCCGGCTCAGCTGAGTGGTACCAGGTGGTTGAAAAGGAGCATTGCCTCAGTGTTGTTGGCACGGTGCCTGGCCTCCAGGCCTTGGGGTAGATGCCCGGAAACATGGGGCAAAGCCACCCTTCATGCCCCCCAGTCAATAGAACCCTCCTCCCTCTATGCATTTTTCTTTAGCAACCAAGCTTTTATTTTTGCAAACTTTCAACATGAAAGCTGTGCTCACTCCCAGTTCCCTCCCTCTCCCCCAGCCCCACCACATCCGTTCACTCTCTTTGACCTTCTGCCAAAAACTCGGTTTCTTAACGCTCAGCCACCCTCCATCTCATTTTACTCACCGTGTTTCAGGCACTGTGACTTCTTGGTGTTCAAACCCCCTGAGGTTACGTAAACAGTACTTGGAGCTGATCTTTCTCTTTCTTTAGAGCTTTGTTTTCAGCTTCATTAGGGACTTCCTTCTCTGAATAATTACCAACATTCTGTTTTGAGTGCTGCCCACCTTCCCCTTATTTTGTTAAAAAGTCATAGATCTTCTGAGATTGCTTTACATTTAAAGTTATTAACTGCCTGCACATCAGTCTTGCTGATCCTCTTTCAAGAGATTTTCCAAAGTGAGCTTCTGCATAGCTACTTTTCTGCCCCCGAGCTCCTTTTGTAGGAATGCGAAATAAGGCAGAAGGAAAGGATTAGAACGCAAGGATCCAACCTCAGCTCCTTCAAACACCATGTCTGCAAGCCAACGTTGTGCCTGCCGACCACAGCTCCCTATCTGATGAAACTTACTTGCAGTGAAATCAACTACATGGATATGGGGCTCTTCTGTGGATCCCCTGACTTTTGTCCAATACCGTGCATTCTTTTCTTTCCCTGTCCCACTCCATTAAGGAGGTTGCCTCCGCTCTGTGATTCCATTTCCTCCTGCTGAGACCAGAGGCCTGGCAAACAGGACCTGTCTTCTGGACTGTCATCCTTTGGCCACTTCTTACCTCTGGCTCAGGCAGGTGGTTTAAATGAAACTCAAATTGTGATCATCAAGCATTTGATTAAAGGTAACATTGATTAGAAATCACAGGTCAGAATGGAAAATTAATTTCCCTCAGGTTGCAGGTGCAAATGCTAATGAGTAATCACCTAATTCATGATGGAACCTGCTAATTCTGTGGGTTGCAGGGGGAACTCTACACATGCACCATATGTGTGATCTGACAACTGCACCATATGTGTGACCAGGAGCTAGTTTTCCCTGGATCCCAAAAGAGGCTTCATATTTGACCGCTGTCATGGGAGGATGAGATAGAAATCCTCTCTGAGTTCTTAGAAGCTGAGCATGTGACACTGGCCATGGGAAATACATTTCCTTTAGATTGGCCATCAGGCCTCGGTTTCGTCTGTTCATTGAGTGCAATGGTGACCTCTCATGTTCAGTCATTCACTGACCAGACACTCCATTCCCTAGGATGGAATAATGCAGACACTTTAGGCTATGGATGGGACCTGTCCACTTTAATTTTTTAACTCAGCCTACCTCATTTCTGTAAGCTGAGATTTTGATTATTCCATTTCCAAGACTCTTCATGCAAAACAGAACCACTGAGATGAATTGGGTGCTGTGGCCCAGCCACCGCTGGTTCAGGCCTGTCCCAGAAAGCAAGTGAGGTAGGGGTCCAGGGCTATGCCTCTTGGGAGCTGTTTCCTGTTTTTATCTCTGGAGGGGGCGAACAGCAGAGGAGGAGGAGATTAGAGTCCAGGGAACAAGGACACAGGGAAGTGGGGACCTGGAATATTGGGGCCAAGCAGAGGGCTCATGAAAAGAGGGTCTGGAAGAAGATGGAGGAAGAAAGCAGCAAGCAGACAGAGCAAAGAGAAGCGCACTTGCTGGAGCTGGATAAGCACATTCTCAGCATTTCTCCTCCACCTGGCTTCATGCATTCCACTGAGCCAGAGCCAGGCCACATGGCCCTCAACCCCACCACATTGGACTCCCAGATACATTGTAAGTAGCTTATTTGATGAAGTAAGGCCCTCTAGGATGAACTGATGGCTGTGGTTACTTGGGCTCATTCTTGGCCCATCCTAAGCAGCTGACGAGACATTCTCAAAACCAGCAGGGGCTTGGGTGAAACCTCTGCTCTATACAGATCATACTGTTAGTAGCAAGACATGAGTGTTGACTTCTAGTTCTTCCTGCATATATAGTCCCATTCCTCACAAGTTCTTTGTACACCCCCAAAACCCCGGACATATTGCAACAAATGGGCATA